GCGTTCGTCTTCCACACAACGTGCTCCTTAACAGACTTCAATGGCAGTTCAAGGCCTTCCCATATAGCAGAACTGAACAAGTGGGCATCTTCAAGACGGCCTTAACCTTCGTCGACAGCGTATCCGAAATATGGGGCCCGCTCCTCAACGGTCTATCTATTTTGGTGGTGAAGAAAGAAAACCACCAAGGATCCTGAAGAAATGGTCGCCTTATTGGAAAAATATCAAGTACTTAATCAAACTATTAATACTTAAACTATAAATATTAAACTAAAATTTGTTAATTTTAGATCGAACGCCTGGTCTTAGTCCCAACCCTTTTAAGATCATTGCTCATGTTCCTCGAGTTAAAGGTAATTATTATAGTGATTTTAAAAATTGAATTATATTAAATTCAATCAATTATAGAAGGATAAAAATGCTTTGAGCAATCTCAAGATTGGGTGTGTTCTGGTGAAACCCTCTGGTATCTTTGGCAGAAGATTTTTTTAAGTACTTCCCCGAAAATTCTGAGCACAAGCTGTGCAACTTTTACGGAAGCACTGAGATTATGGGTGACGTTTCTTTTCACGTTATTGGAAGCAGGAGTCAGCTGAAGCACGAGACCAAGGTGCCAATAGGTGGGCCGGTAGACAATACCATCCTCTACCTGTTAGATAGGGATTATAGGCCAGTAACAGCCGGGGACGTGGGTGAGCTTTTCGTATCTGGCTATAATTTAGCCGCAGGTTATGTAAACGGCAGAGACCCGGAGAAGTTTATTGATAATCCATTGGCAATCGATCCGATGTTTTCGAGGTTGTTCGCACAGGAGATTTTGCGCGCGTCGAGAATGGCTGTCTTCAGTATGAAGGAAGAACTGATTCGCAGGTGAAGATCAGAGGCCATCGAGTGGATCTATCCGAAGTGGAAAAAGCCGTGTCATCCATCGAGGGCGTTGATAAATGCGTGGCTCTATGCTACAAACCTGGTGAAATGAAGCAAGCTTTATTAGCTTTCGTCACCACGGAGGCTTCGATGAGCGAGAACCAAATCGAATCCATGCTGAAAGAAGTTTTAACAAGTTACATGGTACCGCAAGTAATCCAAATGGAATCAATTCCGCTCTTGGTCAACGGAAAAATTGACAGACAATCCTTGTTAAAAGGCTATGAATATACCAATAATAATGGCAAGTGCTCAAACAACGAGACAATTAACATAACTAATTTATATTTCTTTCATCAGATGACTCCCACTTCGAGGCTGAAATTGATTACTCAGGCGTAACGAAGGCCTTCGGCACTCCCGTGCTTCCTGAGGTGTATAGAACGATGGCTAAATCATCTTTTTTTGAACTCAAACGATCCTCGAGATTTCCAGAATCATACTCATGTGATAAATAGAACAGTTCCTTCACAGAGAACTTGGAGACCGTACCAAAACTCTTGTCCTCATTCTCGTAGATCACCAGAGCCGGCTTGGATTCCCGAAGGATGTGCTCGATGCGCGAAGCAGGGAAGGTCGGATCCAGAGGCAAGTAGGCAGCACCAGCTTTCCAAACTGCCTGAAGTACTGAGATTAATTTATCGCTCGGCTGCATGCAAATTGCCACTATGTAATCTCCATCTGCATTGCGTGGAATCGACTTCTCCACGATGGTGGCTTTAATCAAGCGAGCAATTCGATTTGCAGTTGCATTCAAGTCATGGTAACTGGTCGTCTTGACTGCCCCGCGATCTAAATGCAAAATATCAACATATTCATTAGGCAAAGTCAACATAACTTACAGTTAATATATACCTTCGAAAATCAACGCCAATTCTTCCGCACTGCCGACTACTACCTCCTCGAACAATCTGCACAAGTTTAGCTCAGATTTCAGCGATCTGATCGGGCCCTTCAGTATCGAAAGATGAGAAATCGATTCCATTTTCTTTAGTAGAAACAGAAAAATAAAAGTTAATCAGTATTTTCTCTCACATTACGATTTCACTTTAGACGCACTAATTAATTGTTGAAACAAAAAAGAATCTGATGTTTATCTGATGCTTTTATTTCAGATAAAACTTATTCCATCATCTATGAATTATTCACAAACGTAATAATTATCTTATATCTTATTTCTTTTTCAAATATTCAAATTTAGTCAAAAAGTGAATCATCATTTCATACGACAAAAATGCAATCGCTTTGTAATTATATACTTATTCTTTTTTATCACTATTAAAACTATTATTACAATAGTTTCATCTGTGAAAGTTTAAAATATATAAACGAGATGGAACATTTTTTTAATGAGTCCAATACAATCGTCCTTAAATTCCATGAATTTAAATAATAACTTTGTTTTTTTATATAAAAATAGGATTAGATTATGGTTGTCGGGATTTTGGACATCGGGATTTCGAAGTGAACTTACAAATTGGCTGGTAACTGTCGCACTACAACTGCTGCTCGAGCTTGAATGAAATGAAAGTTTTATAGTAGGGACAATTTATGAAATGCGTAATAGAGTGGGTGCGTGCGTTAAATTATATACCATATTACCCATGTTCAAATTAAGAATTAAAAAAAGGCTTTTTCAATGAATGATAAAAATGCAGTAACGTATGTTTTTTTTAATAAAATAAATATTTGATTGATTACATTTTTCCTAGATCGTTATTTTTACATCATTGTTGAGTTTGTGGAAAACACTGCTTTAGACACACGAAATACACTCTTAAAATTCATTATTATTATGGTGTTAGGCTGTGCTTATGAATATAGATCAACGAGAGTTACAATATTTAGTGCCTTTTCCTATAGTCAAAAAAATATAATGAAAACACACGATAAAAAATAATTAAATGATTGCAAAAGTGTACATGCATACAATTGATATTTACTATATTTATAAAAAATATTAGTAACACGTAGACTTTAAAACTCAATACATTTTCATACTAATTCTCTCACAACTTTTAGATAAATTATTAATCATTAATTATTTCTGAAAAAATGTATTATTTTTTAGAAAGGTAACTAAAACATTTTTCTGAGAGTTTTCTATTATTTTATTATGATTTTATAGAATTAACTCAATTATTCTAGTTCTATAATATAACTTACTATTATATTGAAAGGTTTCTTAATATTATATGGTTAAAAGAGATATCAAAAAAAGTGGACTTAATAACAAAATGGTAAACTGGAAGAAATTTAGGAAGGAACTAGATTGAAGAATCAAATTACCACAGAACCTGATCATCAACGATATCTATATCCCCAACGTAGACTGGCGTATCAACCACATAGAACATCCCGTACTTGTTATCAACAATTTTGCTATTGTTGTATCATAATCAGAAGAGTCATGCGGACGGAATGTCTTCTCAAGGTGAGCCAAGGTGAGAAACACATGCGAAAAAAGTCAACAGGTCCACCAACGGGTTTTAATGTTTTTTTTTATATTTTTATAGTTTTTTATAATTTCGTTCCAATAGTTCTTTTACTTAATATCATTGATCGTCGTACATATCTACAATCAATGCATTTATTAAGATTATTGAATCTTTTTTAATATCTATGTATAAAGTTAGATGTTTTTAAGTGGTTAGACATCTCTTTATCCGTAATGTCCAGGTCCACGGAGGCAATGATTGCCAAGAATGATGGGGCCGGAGAAGAGCGCTCAGTCCTAGATGGATAGGTTGATTTCTGATATGCAGTAATTTTGTTGGGAAGCGAAACTTTTTTCATGTGTAACATCTACTTTTATTTACAATCATTCTATAGAAGAACAGTAAGCAAATTTGATAGCAGTAGAAATGTAATGAATGAGTTGAGTTTCCCCTAAACAGTATCCATCTGTGTAAATTAATATAATTTCATTTACTACAGAAACACATTGGAATGCTCCTTGCGAAAAGCAAAATGATGTTGCGGGAATATTTTGTTTTTTTGGGCTCATATATTGTAGTAATAACTTTTCGAAAACTTTAGATATAATTGGTAGTAGACTGATTGTTCTGTACTATGATACATCTTGTGCTGGTTTTCTAAGTTTGGGAATTACTATGAGCTAAGCTACTTTACATTAAACAGGATATGTACCCAGACGTAATATCACGTTAAATATAGTTGTTATTAGTTTAACTCCTTTTGGTAGGAGTCCTTTCAGTACTTTTCCAGTGATCCTGGTGATTTCTTCAGTTTTGCAATATACTTCTCGTTTTCACTAATGGCATGTTGATTTCGAGGGGAGTGTTATACAGGCATCTACTAAATCTGCAATTTTTCTTCTATTAGTTGGCCAGTGCGTTGGTTCACCTGTTGACAGATAATCAAAGTTATATTTGCTTACCGTTTTCATAAGTTCTTCCTCTGGTTCTCGTGGTTTTTATAGCACTCGGTGTTTCACGTTGGGAATATATACTATTTTATGTCCTTGTATTTGCAGGCTTCTTTAATTTCCTCATCTTCTCTTGTTTGATGCAGGTTTTTAATTATTTTAGCGTATGTTTTCGTAGTGTTGCTAATTATTTAAAATTGGTTTTTACCTACTAAATCTTCTATACTTCTCAAGCTGATGACACTAGGTACGAAGATTGGCGGTAGCTTAGGCTGCTAATCAGCGCTGGATGTCGATGATTCTGGTTCTCTATCCGGTTTGTTATCATTAGTAGCAAGTGACTGAAGCTAAACTTGGTTTTTAAAATTATATCTTTTCCAAAATTCCTATATTTCATTCCATCACTATGTATGAAAAATATTTTTTTAGATAACGATTTGAAATTTATATCATATTTCATTGGGTGTATCTAGAAAATTGATGCATAAACTTACTGCGAGGCATGTATTTCCTGAAAAAAAATACCAAAGATGAAAGTTTTCAAGGCAGTGCAACTATTCAGTCGATCAGTAAATGCAGCGATGAAAATTATGATTTTGTTAAACATATTTTGTCCAAATGAAAGACATTTTCAGCGAATGCAATGGGCACATTTGTGCTATGTGCGGCGGATAGATTATTTTTTGAATGGAATGACCTAGGTTGATAGCCTTTTGGTCATAAAGTTTTAAATATGTTAATATAAATAAAAATATATTATATAAAATTACCAGATTATCTTAAAAATATCAGTTCACCTTCAGATCAACAACAATAATGCCTCAAATAGATCACGATATGTACTGTACCTTGTACACTCTTCCAACATTTTAACTACTGTTAGCGAGGTATAACACGACTTAAAAACTGGATAGTCAACGCCCGTCATATTATATGTATGTGTCAGTCTCGTATGATCGATTCATCTGCTAGCTCATTGCCCAAACGAATTTAATATCCATACTTCACGTTCACAAACGATACAAGATGCACCAGCGGATTACCGGATCAGCCTTTTAGGCAACTAGCAAATCCATGCAGATAAGGAAGGTCTTACTTATGTTTGAATATATGAATGACATGCTTAAAATCCAATAGTGTAATAAATTAACTTGTTTTTACCAATATAGCAATGCATTACAATTATGCTGGTATGCTATATTTAGAAATATTGAACAATGATTATATTTTCATGGGTATATCATTCTGTCCATTTTTTAGTAGCTTATAATCTACAACAGGGGTACCCCAATCTTTTTGAGCGCCGTGCTCAATACATCAAAAAAAAACTTCACGGCGCACCAAGTCAAAATATTGGTTTATTTCACTTTAAGTTAATATTAGTTTTTCTTCATTTCCAAAACAGAATAGCGTTGATATATCTACACCTATTATATTGTCCGCAATTTTATTAAATAGATAATTAAAACTCCTGAAGTTCGTGTGAAATTGAAAAATTTGCCGTTTAAACCGCAATTACGCACATAATAGCAAAAATTTAAAAGCGAATACATCTATGGCGATAATATAAAATACATTATTGGAACTATCTCGTTAACATCATATTGAGAATGGACTGCCACTAAGATCTTAATTGCAGCGGCTGGCCGTGTGTCCAAAGGTATTCAATATGATTACGATACTCAATTGAAGTGCATATTCACAAACAATTTATTGAACAGACATTGTAACAAAAAGGTGGTGCTTTGGCTTTCAATCCATGTGAATATGATAATTTGATACTTTAGACAATTTCGTATATTGAATGCGCTGTTTTTATATGAAAATTTTCGCGGTCTATACTTATTTATACGTACTAATATACTTATTTGTACTTTATCTTTAACATGTTACTTCTAACATTATTAAAAAAAATGGCTTTCAACAATTAAAACTATCGTCAAAACACGCGATAAAAAATAATGAGTACAAAATAATGAAGGTAAAAGTAAATTTTCCAAAAAAAAAAATATAAAAGGCAATTAATTTGATAAGACTAAAAAAGAAAATTACAAAAAATCAATAATTCATTAATATTTTCTACATTTAAAGAAAACACTATTTTTTTATGTCGTATAATTTTATTCACAATCTGTTCATCAATGTGAATATTGAGTAAATTTAAGATCACCGTTGACATTCAATGAATAATCTTTCGCGGTGGATTTTAAATATTAATAATTACTTAAATCTATATACTAAATCTAGTGGTTTGCAACGCTTCGGCCTGTTTGTGGTTTCACTGTTGTCGAGTAGGCCAATACTCAGAACATTAGTATGTCTATCTTGGTATCTACTACTAAATGTTGGTATTGTATCCTCAACCAAATCTATATGAAGAAATATACACTTTCCTTGAAGAGGAAAAAAACGAGTATTCCACATACTCTGTTGAAATGGATTTTTTGAAAAGTTGAATGCGTTGAATATCACACTGCAATGACGTAATATGAATATTTTAAAATTAACAGAAAACATTTCAACTTTCAGAAAAAAATACAGCAATGGAAAAGAAATAATAATGAAAATGGTATTAATGGTTGTTTTCAATTATAGCACCAGCTTGTAATTTCCAATAAAGTTGTTTTGTCTCACAATATTAAATGTGTGTTTGAAGATTATCTATCACAGCTTATTAAATGGTTCGAAAAATACTTTTAAGCTGAAAATATCGACAAATTCACATGGAATCAAGGCTCATTTAGTGCCAAAGGTTCATCTGAATTCTCTTCTTTTGTCGTGTCCCAGGGATGGAATTCTGGACACAGTGGAATATTGTCTGGTGTTGTCGTTGTGGAGTCTCAGTAGTTGGGAATTAAATAATTCAATTGGTTTAAAACAAGTTTATTATAATTGGTACTCTTCTTTCCAAGACAAGGTAGTTTAATCGATAGGTTGACTAAGACTGTATCTGTCTTTGAAGGTTTTACTGAGACTAATTTTAAAATACTTATATTACTTAAAAAGTTAATTCTTATTAATACGGGGTGGGAGTTGGGTTTGATTATATTGATGACTAAGCGTTCCCACGGGAATCGGCCTCGGTGGTTTTGTTTATTATAAGGGACAAATTTCTATGCATTTGTTTATATGAATAAGATGATCGATTACGATTGTATATGTAACGATCATTACGTGTTTATAATAAGGGCTTGAATTCGGAATAAAGGTATAGGAGTATCGATAGGAATGTTTACGCTTGGTCCCTTTTGTTTATATTAAAGTGTATCGAACTGGAATCACGGTAGATATTCCTTTATGCTAATGTTTATATTTATATAATAATGCGATTAAGAGACGCCGTGGATATCCCTAGTTCGTTAATACACTATGCTAATAATAACAATTAAAATAATAATGGTTGGACACAACACTTTAGAAGAAGAATCTCTTATTGTGTTATCTTGCGACAATATATTGGAAACAAAATTCGGTAGCATAGAACTTTATGATTTTTGGATATCAGTAAAAGAAGAATATCCCGTTCTCAGTGGTAAATCTCTACGAATATTAATTCCATTTACAACGTCCTATTTACGCAAAGCTGGGTTTTCGGTGGTCGCGGTAATAAAGAGTACGTTCGAAAATTAACGTGGGACAGGAAATGATGGTATCCGTATTCCGAGATTTGAGAAGTTATGTAGTTAAATGTTTAATCGTTTTTCAAAAGTCAACTTTTTCAATTTCACAAGAAACCTCTGATATAGCCTAATGTATGTTAATATGTACGCAATTTTTATCAAACAGTTGTACAACTTCCGAATCATTGAATTTATTTTGAAATAATGTAGAGTAATAATTCTGAATAATAAACTTTCATCAAAATAAAATTTCATAGAAATCATTAGAAGATATTATTTTACTGTAAAGAAGCCAATTTTAACGTCGCACAGCGTTCATTTAAAAATAAATTTATTTCTCCGATAACTTGTGACTTCTATCTAGTTGAATTGATTTAAAAATATTCAGATCTAGTTATATTTAAGAATAGAAATGTGTTATCACTCAGAGTTGTTAAAATTTGAGTGTATAATAAAAGACGTTACATAAGAAAAGTCTCTTTTGTGAAAAAGTAGAAATTTTAATTGTTTGTACTTCATTTCTAATGAATTTAAAAATTAAGAAAATTATGACAGTATTTCTTGTCATAATTTACCCATAATTTCTGTAATAATATGTAATGATAAAACTGGTAATATAGGCACCACCTGTGAATATGCCTAACAAAATGCACAGGCTACAACAAACGATGAGTGCGTTTCGAATTTTCTATTTTATAGACTTATTTTTATGTATTATCGTATTAATTATTCTGTTTTTACACATAATTTTCAGGAATTAATTTGTCCTGTAAAAACATATTTAAGTAGATTAGTTACATTTTTTATTGGCCATAAAAGTATATTTGTCCAAATAAAGCAAATAACAATACATTGTATTAAATTATATATATATTTAAACTTCTGCTAGCGAAGAAATGTATTACTTACAATTATGATACGCTTTTGTATCGACCGAAGTATTTGCAAAATAAAATACAACAAAAATATCTTAAGTATAAAATTTGGAGGAAACGGCAAACGTTTATTATTAATTTTCCTAAGTGGTTTATTTCCATTAACCAATTTATTTTGTTGTTTCGTATATACTATATTATTTGATATAAGGAAGATAATAAAATATTATAATAGTTTGTGACTATTTTGTCAACACACAAAAAACCCACTTCTATTCTTAAATATTTGGGTAGGTTCATAAAACTTAGATAAAGAAACAAAGTGCAAACCTCCACATAGTCAAAACTGATTTCCTTTCCCCGAAATAATTGTATTATAAAATTATTTAAGAATATGGTATTTAACATTCATAAGCCCCACTAACAAACATTAATGGTGTTATTAAAAAAATATCAAAGATTTTGTATATATTAATAAAGATTTATAAAGTATGTAAAAAATATAAATCTTATGTTTTAAAATAATTTAAAAATTTACCGATTTACAAGATAAACTTTCACAGCCTATGTGAAAGATATCACTTTAAGCAAAATACAAATTGTCATAACGACATAATGTTCAAAATGAAAATTTCCAATAAATTTTGGGAAATGTGAAGTAACAGCAAAATATTGATTATTAAAAATTAAACGTTGACAACTTTTTAGATAGATGAAAAGAAAACCAAGTAAGGTTAACATTACGCAATAATTTATATAATGTTTAATATAAATTGAAAAAAAACATACTCATAATTCAGCTAGTGACCCTTATCCTTCGACAAGCTAGGCATCATTCGGAGTTCAATTCGATGACTCTTCCGAATTCATTCACTCCACGGATCAAATTAATAGCAAGGGGGTACTGTCGTGCTCACAATGCGCCCCACTACAACCCGCAGCTGGTATTCCGGGAAGGTCTGATAAGGGTACTACCAGGTTAGAGTATATAAGCTGCAACATATATGTACCCGGCATTTAATGCCGAAAGAGCTAAGGCTTACAGGGGCAATAATTAACATTGTAATATATCTCAATCCGAATAAATAAACTGAAATACTACCCGGCCTCATTACTATCTTCTCTTCCGCTTCTCCTTTGTATCCTGCCTCTCTTTCAGTGTACCGTTACTTATCCGTGGTTAAGCCTAATAAACATACTTGTGAACACTGCCATTATGGAAGTAAATGTTTCCACTCTATGAACATTTCTCTCCTATCCAAATAATAATAATAATAGCAAGACATACATATTATTTTCTAAGAGGCGATGTTTCACTTGATACATACAATTAAATAAATACTATAATTGAAATGTATGTTTCTAATCAAATTTTGATATAAAAAAGTATTGCATTTATTTTAATTCAAAATATCACCGATTTTTTTTCAAATTCATTGTTTAATGTAGAATCATAGTTAATGTGTAATAACATGAATATAGAAGGCCATAGATGGCTTATAAAATTAAGCCTTTATGTAAGGTAGACGACGAAATTGAGTTTGGGTAGATTTGCGGTAACCACATTCACTAAATTTCAATAAAATTTATTACTTCTGATATATCGATTTCAATTCAAGGTATATCAAATATTTCTATTTAATCTATAAAAAAATATGTATAAAAACATAGACATTCTTTTTGTGTGTTAAAAATAATTTTATTGTATTTTAATCCATATATAGCAGAAATTCTTTTACATATTTCTTGTCCACCTGTATATTGATGAAGAATTTACATCTGATTTTTATCAAACTTCGTCTTGAAGGAATAACTCATTAATTATTACTTTTATGAAAATTACTAAGTTTTTCCAAGACACAATCACCCACATTAAAATAAACAGATCTGAAGGTTTTATAAGAAAAAAATCACTTAGTAATGAAACTATATTACTGCCATTATTTAAAATTTGTCCACAATATTGATTGTCTTTGCCATCTAGTATACAGGTTGCTCTATTCTCAGCGGTTTCTCGCCCTGAGCGCTTATAATCTTTATGGAGCACTTGCTGAGGTAGCTTCTTATTGTTTTTTTATTAGTAACTGATTCATTACTATTTGTATAAAATGAAGTAGTTAATTCGATCATGAACTTGAAGCTATATATGGTCAAACTTTCACTGATTTTATCTTTTGCAAATTTCACGGCATTATTAAGATTTTCAGTTAGAGAGATCAAAGTACTCATATCATTCCGCCTTTGTCTTATCTATGATTGATCAGCTTCAAAATTATTTTTCAATTACTTTCTACAAAAAAAAATGTCAGTACAGACGTGTTTGATAGCAGCACTGTAATAAGAATTATTTCTGTTTTTTGGAGCGGGAAGTAAATCATCTATCCAATAAGTGCTCCAGTTTCTATATGATTCTAATTTCTAATTATTTTATCGTTCTCCAATGCTTAATCCATGTCCTCGAAAACTCTTTGGAATTTTTTATCGAAGTACTTACACCTTATAAAAATATGTTTATAATAGTCTGCCATCTTCTTGACAACCTTATTGTTGCGTTCAAAGTCTTGCCCATTTATGAGCTCCATTGTTGTAATTTACTTGAATGTTTCTTCATGCTTTTTGCATTTTTTATTACATTCTTTGCAATATTCTAGCACTTCCTGCTTTACCATCGTCATATCGTTGACGACCCCATGTAGGAAAATGTCGGCTCACGAGTCGGACGAATGATGGCCCGGAAACTTGAGAGAACTTCTGACGCGCTCCACCATTCCAAAGATATTCTCGTTATTCATCTCGTTATCTCCATCATCCTCCTGTTCAGCTTGCACATCTCGACTAATTTTTTCGAATCTGCGATTTTCAATTTGCAGCATTGTTTGATCTGGGCAGCATTCTCTGACAGTTTCTTCACCTCCTTCAGAGGGCTGACACTCGGATCTATAGGTCTCGGCTCCAACATCTCCTTAAACACACTTAATTGTTGATGTAAATTATACAACATTTTCAGCAGATTCCCAAGTAACGTGCAGAATCTGTGAATCACATCTCTGGAGGCGTCAGTTTTGTCCATCGTCATGCATTCTATAATTTCGGTTTTGTGTTGCTTGGTGGAATCGTCGAAGGTGGTGTGAAACATAAATAAAGACATCTTAAAGTATTGCAGCCTTACTAACTTGTTGCGTGCATTTTTATCTCGGTTTTGCTCCCCCAGGTCCCTGACATTATCGAAATCTTTGTATAATTTATTGTCTACTATAAACAAATATTTCGAGTAACCCGACAAAAAGGTTAAGAAACACTCATATAACGGATTCACCGCACACCAGTATAATATGTCTTAATTTTCTGTTATCTATATTTCTGTTTATTGATTGCTCAATTATAATGAAAAATATTACGATCATTCCTATATTTCCATACGGAATTTCGCAATCATTGAAAACTTCAGACGTAACTCGATTTACTGCAAGTCGTGTAATCTCATTTTTTTTTGTTTCTGCTTGTTCATTCCAAATTGCAAGAAAATAGTATCAGTTCGAATTTTATATACACTTGTCTGTAAATTCGTAGTACTCACTAGTATTTCACTCTTTTATAATTGGTTTAGTTTTAAATAATATAACAAAGCAATGTTTCAGAAGACGATGTAATACAGTGTAGAATTACACTTTATTTTAACGTTAAAGTTAAATTTATATTTGAAAAGAATTGAACAATCTGTAACAATTTTTAATATATTTTTGTTAATAAAGAAAGAAATAAATTGAAACTTTATATTTTTTTTGCATATACTTATTTTTGATAACATTTTCTAAAGCAAAAGTTAAACAATTGTGAATATTGATAAAATAGTTCTCTATGATATTAAATCATTGGATTATTTATTGTTTGGATTATTTATAAAAATAAAATCTGAAAAAACAAGCACTACTTTTACAAAAATAAAAAGAGGTTCAGAAAAGTTTCCGTTGAATTTACTCAAAAGACAGTGTTTGTGATATAATGATTCGTTTGGTAATGATGTTAAAATTATGTTTTTATTTGGTTAGTTTCAGTCGCTGAAGTGATAAGACGTATGTTCGGTGCTCCGTCTTAGGTTTTTCTAATTAATTTGTGGTAGTCGGTATTACTGTACAGTTGTGAACAAACAATAGTGACGGAGAACAATAGTGACGAAAAACAATCAGTAGTAGTGCTGGTAGGGCCAACCAGAATGGTGGACGAAGGTTCTTCGGACGGTGAAGAGCACGATCCACCCGAGCCAGGAGAAAAAGGAAGAGACTTAAGAAAAAACAGAGATAAACATTCCAATTCAGGGGACAAAAAAGCAAACACGCGGAAAATCCAGCAAAAGCAAGTGCGGAGAGTTGCGTATAAGCAGCAGTAGCAACACGGATATAAACAGAATACATGCTGAGCTGGTGGAATACAAAGCAAAAATCGCCAGCTTAAAAAACATAATTAAGCAACAACAAGAATTGTTTAACGAACAAGGTTCATTGCTTTTACAAAAACAACAACAAGCACAGCAGCAGCAACAACAACAGCAGAAACAAAAACAACAGAAGAAAAATAGCGGTAATGAGCCAACGGTACTACTGGTAAATAACCTGTACTCTGTTTTAGCTAGTCTGCCAAACGCCTCGGAAGAGTTCCAGCCGAAAGTCACACCAAATAATACTAAAAAACCTAAAACTACACCAAAGCCACTGCCGTTTTTCATTCCAGACGTGGACGATATTAATAAAGTAATCAAGGACTTTGATACTGTCGGGAAGAACGCGTACACGATCAAATTGGTTGGGAAGAAACAGGTGAAGGTACAAGCGAATGGTACCAATGAATTTGAAATTATTAACGCGCTAATCAAAGAGAAACACATCCCATGCCACTCCTACCAGAAGAAAACTGAACGCTCCTTTAGGGTCGTATTAAGAAGTATGCATTCCTCATGCAATACCGAGGACATAAAGGAGGAAATTGAGTCTTTTGGCCATACTGTACGGAATGTCAGTAATATAAGGAGTAGCAAGGACTCGAGCAAACAACTTCCTATGTTCTTTGTTGAGCTGAAGCAGGCAGAAAACAACAAGGACATATATAATGTTCTGTTGCTGCTGCATTCGAAGCACCTATTAAGAGAAGGGAAGTACCGCAGTGCCTTCGGTGCCAATGCTGTGGACACACAAAGAACTTCCAAGCAACCGCCCTGCGTGAAATGCGGGCAAAAGCATTTTTCAGCTGAGTGCAGCAAATCATCAGAGACACCAGCAAAATGTGTACTGTGCGAAGGCAACCACCCAACGAACTATAAAGGGTGTACGGTTTACAAGGAGATCAAAGAGCGGATATTTCCCTCACCTAGACCCAAACAACAACAAATTCCGTTAACTCCAGCAACTACACCCGCTAATCCAACGACACCAGGGAAATCATATGCCCAAGCAGCGAAAAACCAAGTCGAAGCTATACCCGTACATGATGTACAGCCATCCGCATCCAACCAATCTGAGAAACTATATGATATGATGTTTCAACTCATAGGACGTATGGATACTATGTTGGCTCTAATCACTGAACTTATCAAGAAGCTGAAATGATTTATCAACAACTTAAAATAGCAACCTCGGTCGCCAACGGCTTGACACAGCATATACAAGAGCTCATATGGTTTATAAAAACTCATAACTTTGATGTCATTTTGGTTTCTGAAACTCGATTCACCGATAAAAGCCATGTCATTATCCCAAATTATACGTTATATGCGACGGATCATCCTGATGGTACTGCACATGCAGGAACGGCCCTGATAATAAGAAGCAGCATTAAGCACTATCCATTGCCGAACTTTCAGGAAGAGCACTTGCAGGCAATAAGTGTCGTTGTAGAGGATTGGAGAGGTGAAATTACCATATCTTCAATACACTGCCCACCGAAACACAACAACAAACTTGAGCAATTTGTCGAGTTCCTCGACATTCTGGGTAGTCGCTTCATTGCTGCTGGAGACTACAATACGAAGTATACCATGTGGGGCTTCAGGCTTACAACAACAAAAGGT